GCAATCAAGGTAAAGACGATTGCGGTGGCGTACAGGAGTCGTACAGTAAGCACGCGTGAGTCCGTTATAATAATGTGTGTATGAGTACTCTTGACGCACTGATCGCACATTGTATTTATGCACAGGCACAGACCTTTCCGTACATTCACGTTGTTTCCACACACATTCACGATAATGTTTTGATTTGTCATGTGTATGTTGCTGTGTTTAGTTTTTCTGAATGGATCCGTGTACAGTAGTAGATATATGCAGCCAGCAGGCGATTGGTTTAGGGTTTTTTTGGCATCTCCATGTGGTCCGGTTCGGTATCGCAACTTGGCTTCTCTAAAATGTAAAAAAGCTCTTTGCTGTTGCACTGTACACATACTATACAATTCAGAGTTTTGTTTAAATGATGACAAAATAAACGTTTGAAACAAGATAAATGGTCTATGCTTAATTTCATGAAGTGTGCGATTAATCGCGATTATTCACAGAAAAAGGATGTGATTAATCAGATAAATTTTTTTAATCGATTGGCAGCCCTAGTTTAAACTGAAAACAACAACAACAACAACAAAAAACTAATAAAATATAACAGACTTAAACATTTCTCGTTTTCATTTAGTTTAAGTACTAAAATTACTTAAACTGAAATAAATGTATAAAAATCTATACCGACATTCAAAAAACAACTGAATTACTAAAATGAAAACAGAAAATATAAAAACTAATTCAAAATATTTACAAAAACTATAATAGTATATTAATGATACTAAAATAACACTGTTAAACATCACTAGCCACATTTAATCCAATGCCTTACTTGCCGTTGCTTTGTAATTATTTGTGAAATTTACGATCAATTTCTCCTTAATTTTTTTTTTTCAGTTTTAACATAATTTCCCTAAATCAAGGTTTGAATATGAATTTTTATGGAATGCTTTAGAAAAGCGTTCAGATAGAACAGAACTTTATGGACTTCTGAAATGACATTAAACTGGTCTCAGAATGATGTTTTAGTAGCACATGGAAAGGTTATTTCACACTCACTGTTCGGCCTTTGGATCCAGGCAGACCCAGTAAACCAGGAAGACCGGGAAGCCCGTCGGATCCCGGATACCCGTCCATCCCTCTGGGCCCCGGCAATCCAACCGGACCCTAAAAGACATTCAGAGAGAGTCACATGACCACAACAACATCCTGTGAGGGGGCGGAGCCTGCGGCTGCTGTTTACATATATTATTAACACTTAAAAAGACGAGCCATCATAAATGATTTCTGGTCTGGGGAACAGACACACAAAGCTAATTTGACATGGAAATTGCAATAATATATGTTACACCACTTAAATACGCTCAAAAAACATATTGTACATATTTTAATTCATATCAAATTTCCATACATTTGGATTACACAGTTTTTCTAATGATCCTAACATGATTCATATTTAGATTAAATGAAATAGGTCCGATTTCTGTAATAGTGCGAATAAACTGAATGTGTTTTAAACACACAATAACCAGCTTTATATATTTAATCAATTTGTTTTAATCTCATACATTTTAACTAATTGAGTATTGCTTGTTCCACAGCTACTCATATTTTGAACCATGTTCATTCTTTTTAAATGTACAAATTAATTTATAAAATAAACTTTTATAAATAAAAATAAACTTGAATTTATCTATTTATTTTACAGTGAACAGATTTATGCTGATTCTAATCCATTTAAATAAATTTTTTTTTTAAGTATTAAATTCAATATGAAAAAATTATTTTAATTAAATCAAATAGATGTAAATAGTTAAAAAGAAAAATTAAAATTTTTTTGAGTGCAGAAATCTCTGACAAATACGCGTCACATTAAGTTTATTTCATTATGTTAAAACTGTGCAATGCAAATATAATGGAAGTTTTACATTTAATTCACACACAAAAATCTTAACATTTCTGAGTGTTTTCTGTTTAAATTTATGTAAATGTCATGATTTTATGATTGTGTAAACATAAAATTGTGGTGTAAAACACACACCTCAGGACCTGGCGCTCCAGCGGGCCCTCGGGATCCTTTCTTCCCAGCGAGTCCCTAAAAACACACACATAAACTTATTCAATAGCCTTATATAATACTGTTACCTAAGAATGATTGGAGCGAATGAAAAGAATGATTTCTGCATGACGTGATAAAGAAAGCGCTTTAATCTTGTTATTCAAGCGTCTCTGAGCACACAGTTCCTTTAATGCTCTGGATAACAGAGGAAAGGCAGACACGACTGACTAAAGTCACGCTGGGTGGCCAAACGCGCCGTGATTCTGTTTCGCTCAGGTTTTGAATGCCGTTTATTGGCTGATATCTGAATGGGATATTTGTGACGCTGAATGTGGATCACTGACTGTTTACACGAGCTTTCCAGGATGGATTTGCAAAATGAAACACAATACAGAATTCTTTCTGTTACACAACTTGGTTTTATACTACAGAGTAGTATACAGTGTTGGGGGTAATGTAACGCATTACAAGTAACGCGAGTTACGTAATCAGATTACTTTTTTCAAGTAACTAGTAAAGTAGCGCATTACTTTTTAATTTACAAGAGAATATCTGAGTTACTTTTTCAAATTATAATATAATTGTCGATTATGCCCTTGAAATTGTAATTGCGATTATTAATTACGATTATCACATTTGACATTGAATGATGTTTATAACATTGTTTGAAGCAACCGCATGCCATATTTTTAAATGAAAATAAACAAGCTGAAAACACTCTAACTGAAAAACCTTTATTGCTTTTCTATAGTATTAAACCTCAAATGTCAACTATACATTGGATTGGTTTCTTCTTTAAATAAGAAAAAAGTTAAAATATGCATGATATTATAATGTTTTACTAACACTAAAATTAAAACAATGGAAAGATAACATTAAGAAAACTTGTAGAAAGAGAAGAACGTAGAAAGAAAAAAAAAACATATCTTAAGCATGCAGAATAACATAAGTGGACTTTGAACGATTAATTGCCGTTTTGACCGATTACGTAATTGTGGCATCCGTAATCGCGATCAGAAATTCGATTAATTGTGCAGCCCTAATTAAGAGGCGACCTGCCATTGACTTCTGTTGTTTTTAAATAAAACTATTTGTTTGCTCCAGTCTGACCCTAAACTTTTGCCATTTTTAGATTTATAAAACATTAGAATACTGCTTACTGAATTTAATTGCTTTATACTATTTTTTTTAACTATGTGAAACAGCATGAACAGCATGCAGATTTCAAATGTAAAAAATGCTACGTTGTTGTCACATGACCTCGCTACATTGCATCCTTTGCATCCTTAGAAAATATATAGTGCTATTTTGCATTTTAGCGCAATTTAAGGGTAAAGATGTGTTTACTTCTGGCAGATTGCCAAAATAACGAGTCAAGAAAAATTAACAATTGCAGTTGATATTACAAACACTGAAAACTGAAGAGAAACAACATCATACCAGGATTATTACAGTCAAATAAAACTAAAACCATAAAAATATTTTTATTCAAAATAAAATTTGACTGAAATAAAATTTGATATTTAAAATAGCCCTCGAACTTATTTTATTTTAGCTAGTTGCCAAGCCAACATTTCTCATTTTTTATTTAGTGTAATGTGATATACTAAAATAACAAATTATAAAATTTTATAAAAACAATACAGTAATATATAAAAATAACAAAAACACACAACGAAATTACTAAAACTTGAACTAAAATTAAAATGGACACAGAAAATATAATTCAGTTTGTTTATTTAATTTCAAGTAACAAAATTTTTTTTTTTTTTAATGGTATAATTTTAGTTTTAACTATAATAAACCTGTATCAGCTCATCCAGAAAAATACAGAAAAATGACAAACTGCACACAGTATAAAAAAAAACAAAAAACCTTGCTACGTGTACTGCGTTAAGCTAACTGACACTTGTTATAGCACTTGCATATCATTGCTCTCTTGTTGATTTTGATTGCTTCCATTGTCCTCATTTGTCAAACAAGCGTCTGCTAAATGACTAAATGTAATGTACATGTACTACCTATTGCAGAAATAGTATGCTAACACTTATACACACACAAACCTGAACTCCCTTCTCGCCCTTGGGTCCTGCTTCACCAGGAAGCCCAGGAGATCCCTGGGGTGGGGGAAAAATTAAAAGATTGTATTTTAATTTCATTATGCAAGCAGACACTTCAGTGTGACGTTCCTCTGGCCCAGAGACGTGTGGCCAGAGTCCAAAATTAACCAGAGAAAAAAACTGCAAACATTGGCTTAGGTACATCAAATTTTCCGGTAACTTAATTGGAAAAGTTATGCAACAAAAAGCTCTGCTCCAAATCCTTGTGAGCCCCTACCTAGACAGCATTTTTAGGCATCATAGGGTGTAACTTCTGATGCAAAGACATGCATCAAACACATACAACATGCTAAGGTCGAACTCTGTTGTCAGATGAATTTCCAGTGCACTACTTGCATGATGCACTGGTTGCTGTCTATGTAGGTAGACAGCAGCAGTTTTGGATCAGAGCTGCAGTGTTGGTCAAACATCAGACTTACAGGAGATCCCTGCTGACCAATCGCTCCACGGGTGCCTGTGACCCCTACGTGACCCTAAAACACACACACACACACACATTACTGCAGCGTTGACATAACAAATATGAATGTGAGTGTCGACTGTTTGTGATGAAAACAGGCCTACAGTGCTGCAGGATCCAGAACAGTTCAATCTAGATCACAGAAAACATCTTAAAAACAATCAGCAAAAGAACGTAACCGGAGTCTCCAGTGCTCAGAAAAGACGCTGTTATGCTGTTGCTAAGGTATTT